GGCCAGGGCCAGATTCAGGCCCAGAGGCTGAGCTCCTAAAAACGTTTGGACCTTTTCTTTTGTTTTCGAACAGATTTTGACCTGTTCGAACCCAGGCCGACGTTGAGGCCGGGTACGTCCGCACAGGACCGGTTTGAAGCCAGGTACCAGGAAGATTAATCCTGGACAGGGCCTGGACATCCGGTAGGGACCCAGGCAGGCCGTTTTAGGCCAAGGACTGAACCAGTTTTCGAAGCCTGCGATCTGGACTGTGGATCGGAGTTTCGATCTGCACGGTCCAGAACGCAGGCCGTGGGTTTGCAGTCCTGGCCTAGCACTACTTAAGCTGGGCCATTGCCCAGTTCGGACACAGAAGGTACCAGGAGAAATCCAGCGTTATGCTGGTTCAGGAACTTGGCTGCTGCGCTATTTTGGAGACTCCCTGCTGCGCCATTTCGAGACTGCAGCGGCGCTGCTCATCGGCCATGAGGCACAGCGCTGGAGGAGTCCAGCGCCGGGGAGGGTAGTGGAGTTAGAGAGAGAGAGAGAGAGAGAGAGAGAAGAGGACTTACCTGCCCAGCGCCGTAGCTGGCTCCGCGGTACCTGCAAGTTCAGCCATCGCCAGGTAAGTGCAGAAAGCACCCAGCTTTCGTCTTCTTCTTCTTCTTCCTCTTCTTCTTCTCCTCTCCTCTTCTCCTCCTACTCCTCCGAAGTTCTTCTTCTTCTTCTTCTTCTTCTTCTTCAGAGTAGAGATAGAGGTAACTGCAGACATTGTTTGGACATGGCCTTCTGCCTTATTGGACACGACATTCAGATCGGACTTACACTCTACATTGGGATTGAACTGTGTGGGACATTCGGAGATCAGACTTGAGTTGGACTTGGCTACCTCTATGTCCCTCCCCCTTCTCTCTCGCATGTCTATGGATCTCTCCCCATGTGTGTGAGCGGAAGGGCAATCTTTCTGGTGTCTTGCCCTTCCGAAGTTCCTCCCTTTCATGTTGTTGTCCACGTGTCCTTTGATACTAGATCTTCCGCTGCGCTGCTTCCCAGCCTATGATGATGATGATACGAATGTGTTGTTATTGATTTCCCGTTGTTTCACTCTTTGCGTCGTGCACATTGACACCTTGTGAATGTTGCACCTATGCTGCTGGTTGTTGCCACTTTCGTCATTGTTAGATCCTAGGCTTTCAGTGCATTTAACTTTCTGATATGCTACAGCATGGTCCCTGGCTGGTATTGCCCACCTGGAGGTTGGGAGCAGCCCCCGCATGCTCTCTCGTGAACACGGTTCTGGCTGCTACGGGGTTCCCCGTATGACTATAATTTAGTAGTGGCAGGTAGGTAGTGTGAGGTGAAATTGAGAGAAGAATGTTGCTTGCTTTAAAAAAAAAAAAAAGAACTGAACCGGCTTTTTCTTGTTTTGGCTGGCGGTGCCAGCCATTTCGCTCTGGCAGTACGTGAACGGCCGCCTCGGACAAAAATAGCTGGGAAACGTACTGTCGGTACTAAGTGTCCAACACCTGTCGTGAGAGAGAGGAGGGAAAAGTCGAACTGACTCTAACATCTTTCGAATTCTACAGATATGAAATATCAACAGATGAGTTTCGTAGCAGCAGGAATGGTGGGAATTTGGAACTGTTAGTTAAACTTAGTTTTGTTGTGTTTTTTGTAACATTTCGGATTTCTACTTCCCCCCCCTCCTTCCGCCCCCCTCCCCCCCCCCCGAAAACAAAAAGAAAAAAGAAAAACTCAGCAGATGGCTGCTCAGGTGTTCTCCTCCCGTCATGCTCGCTGCGCCCTTGGCTTCAGGAACGTGTTGAATCTGTTTGCAGATTTGGAAACGAAATGTGCTTGTAATCAGCGATGGGCTGGTCAGGTGTGCTCCTCCCAGTGTGCTCTCTACACCCTCGGCTCCAGGAACGTGTGGAATTTGTTTGCGGATTTGGAAAGGGAACATGCTTGCTTGTTTTGCTGACAGATTTATCCCAACCCGGGATGATGCACATGGCTTTGCGTTTTTTTCCTGCAGGGCACGAGGTCAATAGAAGTTCGTCCTTCAGGGATATCTAAGGTGGGCATGAGTGAGTGGGCCTTTGAATGAACGGACATTTAACGAAGGAAAGTCGCTTCACAGTTTCTGGGAAAGGAATTTCGTTTTTTTCAGGATAAGGAAAAGAAATAGTGAATCCGCAAAGAAGCTTTTCTGGGAAAGTAAAAGAAAAGCAGCCATGGAATGGCAAGGACAGTCAGATGATTGAGAGGAAACTGGTACTGGCAATACACAGTAGGAAGGAAGGAATAGCATCTGTTCATAGTTTTGCCACAGATTCGCAACGAGGAATCTTTTTATTAAGTTTCTCTTTTTATGGCAAGCCTATCTTTGGTTCTTTTAAAAAAGAATAGAACGACTGGCGCCTACGATCACCTATCTGAAATCGAATAGATTCTCAAACTACAGCCAACGCTCCTTTGTATAATTTGTTTGGTTGTTCTCTGTGGTACCGCGACACCTGTGCTTTTTCATCTATTAGTATCTTTCTTCCAAACTCAGCGCTGACCAATGTTGAGTTTTCATAAGTTGAATGATTTTGTGTATTTTAACTTTGTTTTGGATAGAGTTTTTGAGTATAGATTGGTGTACTTGTTTTTGAAAGAAGACTCTATACAAATTGTTATTTTTAAAATGAATGGCCCTGTTTGTCTATCATAAAGCGAATTTGAGAGACAGCCTTGATGGCCTCCAAACGCCTTGGACATGTAAGAGTCGTACAAAACCCAATTGTCTCGGTATTTCTTACCGTGAAAACCAAGCCAAGTTTGATTCTCAGGGAAGTACTTATGCTTGATTCTTTGTCGACCCCAGGTAGGGTGTCTACGAAAGACCCATGCACGAAGTTGTTGAAATATCCGGAAATCCATACGGTGAAAGATTGCAGAGCATTCCGAAAACTTTAGTTTCCCCAACCTGAAATCAACGGAACCAAAGCACTGCTGAGTCGGTGTACTTTGTGTTCTTTGAAAGTGTTTTAATCCCTATGTTTATTATTATAGGGGTATGGGGTTCTAAACAGAAAAATACGAGCAGCATATCACTTTTTCTTATATACTTTACTTGGATCCGCTTTCATGCTTTTAGGTATTTTATAATTTTATAGATTTTGTTTCAAACGGGAACCACTGATTTACAAATCTTATTAACAACAGAATTTAGCAAATGACGTCAAATATTGCTATGGATTGCTTTTTTTGCATCTTTTGCAGTGAAAGTACCTATGGTACCAGTTCATATTTGGTTACCTGAAGCTCATGTAGAAGCACCCACTGCTGGATCTGTTATCTTAGCGGGAATTCTCTTAAACCACTACTACCTTTCCCAGGCAAACGCAAAGTCCATCTAGTAGCCTACTCCTGAAAACATGGGGCTCGGGGCAGGGTTGGAGGCCGACGAAAAAAAAAGAAAAAAAAGAAGAAAAAAAAGAAGAAAAAAAAACAAAGAAAACTAAGAGTCCCCACTGCAGGGATGTCGGGAAAGCCCCTCACGAGGGTGGAAGTTATACCAGTGCTTGGATGAATGTATCTGGCCACTATGTCGGCAAAAGGGATTGCAGCCTTTTGCAGGTCGTTTTTCTTTTTCTTTTTGTTTTGAAATCCTTGTAGTGCCCTGCCAGCCAGGCAGGGCGTGTTTCACGGGTGGCACGTAACTGTCTCACTGCTGTAGCATCATGTATCTGCCCTCAATCACAGGAAAAGGGATTCCTTCTTTTTTTTTTTTGTTGCTTCTCTGTTTTTTCCCGTACACGCCCTCGCTGAGGGCACAGTCACACAAGCACCTCATAGAATGTATCTGGTGGTTATCAAGGCGTTCGGGAAGTCTCTTTTTTTTTTTTTTTTTTTTTTTTTTCCCCTTCTTCTTTCTTCGATGAAACTGCCCCGGCTCGGCCAAACTCGGTGCGCAGTGAAAATCAGGGTCGGCAAAAACAGGTTYGGAGGTAGTGGTGGTTGAAAATTGGGAACTTATGCTTTTTTAAGATTTTAATACCAATGTTTCCAGAGGCTAATCTTTATTTCACTCCTTTCATGTATACTCTTAGTGTGATTGCTATAATATATACTCAACTACATTAAGACAAATCGATCTGAAAAAGATCATTGCATATTCTTCAGTAGCTCACATGAATTTTGTCACTATTGGCATGTTTAGTCGGGCGGCCGTTAGGTCACCTATTGTACAAAGACGCACGCGGCCGTATTTCGTGTGTAGGGCATGGGACTCGTCACAAGAGATTTGCAACCATTGTTAGGGGAGCTTTTTCCTCGGAAGTAGTGTGTGAAACTTGACAGCTGATAAGTGTGGAGTTTGTCCTACTGTCTTCCATGGAATGGAATGTATGGTCATTATAGCTGTAGTTTAGGGTAACTCTCAGCAATAATGACCGTGTATGCCTTCCGCGGGTGAAGACTGTAGGACGGACTGTGGCTACTTGTCCTGGCACAAGGTGTTACAAGCTCAGTGTTGTAAATTTGTGGAACTCGCCCTGGGACTCGGCTGTTCATCCTGCCCTTGAGCCTGAGAGGGAACCCCCCACCATTGAGACAGTCATGCTAGGAAAGCATGACCCAGGTCACAGACTACGACCAGGTCCATACTTTCAAAGCATAAATATGGCATCAGTGAGGGGTAAAGTGTGGAATGTGGCATGAAGCATTGCTGTCTTGGTGTCAAGTGTGGCACATTTCTGTCTTGGCACAAACCATCGGACTCCAGATGAGAGAGCAGTATGCAAGACACAATACGTTTACATTTTGTCCTCGAAGGTGATCCGGCTCGTCTTTCTTCTCTCACCAGATATTAATTGTTCACGTCCTCGAGTATGGATCTTGTGGATGGTGGGAATAGTGGGCGGGCATGTGTCCTGGGATCTTTCTTTTCCAGAAAGAAGGGCCGACGGCTTAAGTATATTGTCTTTTGACTGACTGGCCCCAGGTTATTCAGAACAATTTTGATTGCACCTGGATTCAAACTTGAGCATTTCAGCAGTTCGTGGGTGTGCCAACTGAGCTGTATAGTCTACACTGGATGCTGGATAGACATTACATGGTGTGTATAGTCTCACCACTTCGCAGTGTCCGCAAGAAGTCCACATTCATGGGACCTTCCTAAGGCAAAGGCATTGCTCTCCAGCAAGAGGTGGACAAGATCTGGTCGCTTTGTTGAGGAGAAGGAAAAGTGCTGAAGCCCGCTTAACAACAAAGCCGTTGGGGTTTGGCGAGCACTGACTTGGCTGTGTGTTGAAGTTAGATACCAGTCAAGTGGCAAATTCTAACTGCTGAAGATTGGGGTGAGAAGAATCTGTTTTGTTTTCCTGGTGCACAAGGGTGTTTGGTTTCTGAGCGCGTATAGTGTTCTTCAGAGTGCGGAGTTTGACATATCGCTCTCTGGTTACATCAGTTTTTTTCTGCTGCTGCATTCTCGTTGAGTCCTGTATGGATGCTTCCAAGCAGATATGCTTCTGATGAGGATGAGCGGCTCTTGTAGCAGTGTCTGATATCTCTGTGACATTCACACAGCCACTTGTGTTACATGACAATTTGTTTTTTGATGGCGGAGAGGGGGTGTTGTGAATGAATGACATCGACGGTTTGCTGTGTTATTGGCTTGAGAATGCTAGAAGAGTCCCTCATTCTCATCAGATGCATATCTGCTTGGAAGACTACTGCTGTGACATTAAGACAGCCAGTCAAGTCACATAACTATTTTTTTTTTGTCTGGCTGAGAGGGGAGTGTTGTGAAAGAACGACATAGACGTACGCTGTGTCATCGGCTTGAGAAGGATATTATCTTCACCCGAAGAGAACGCCTGGTCAATATTGCTGCATCTGGACTGAAAGCTGCCGCACATACAGCTATAATGACCGGGTGTTCCCTTGAGGTGAAGACTGTAGTAGTAGTAGTATTGTGGTTGGTGCAGAGTTGATTGTGGTTTACTCTTGTGACTCTAGACTGTGTTGGTGGTTTGCAGTGAATTGCGTTGGGCGTTGGTGGGACTACTACTGTCTTCCCCTGAACAGAACACACCCTGATTTTAGCTGTACCCGACCGGAAATATAGCTGGTATATGTTCATTATCAGGGTGCATTATGTTCGGGGGAAGACGATACCTTTCAGTCGGGATTCCTTCCCTTGGGTTTTCTGGTTGAGTCTTAGGGCCTCGCTCACTCACCAATTGTGCAAAATGAGAATGAATCTTCCGTTAGAACATGGAATCATATGCCGCCATAATTTGTATCTTTTGTGCATGTGGTGAGTAGTGGAGTGAGGCCCTAAATGCTGGTATTGTTTTTAAAACAATCAAAAGTGAGCTATCCTTGTTTCAAACAAACTGGGTACGAAATAGTACTAAGTATTCACATTTGAATCAGTTTTCCATCCTCGGGATTGTGTTTTGAACGAACTGTGAATTCCTAGTACTACGTGAACTTGGTACATAAAGTATTGGCTACTGGTCTCATTTGGTCGAAGCGAGGAAGGTATGCGAGGATTTAGTTCCTCGGCAGTGTCTGAAAGTGCCGTGGCCGCCTGAAGTGAAGGCGGGCCTGCAAATATGTGCCAATGCCTGTTTATAGGGCTATGAGACCAGGCTGAGGGGCCCAAGCAGAGCCTGTTGTAAACCCCATGTGGGCATGGATCTTCGACGAGGCCTTGTTACAAGTTGGCTCCTTGGCATGCCCTGTAGGGCTGTTACATACTTCAACGAGTATGGGCAGAACCAAAGATCAACCAATATAGGATGAGCATTTATGCAGCGGAAGTCTGATAACAAACTGACTCACATAGACTGACTCACATAGACTGACCTACATGGCATCACTCCACACACATACAATCATGAGATGGTGGGGTCTGGGTCATTCATAGACGATACCCAGATCCCCGTACACATATGCACAGATGAAAGGTGGGAGGAGAGACGAAGGAGGTGGGAGGTCGATCACACCGATAGGTCACAAAGATAGAGTCTGATAGGTCTCCGAAATGGTAGTCCAGAATGTCACATAACAAGATCAAAATGT